ATCTACGCCCCTGTTCAGCATGAAGAAGCCAGAGAGTCGGCATCCAATACCCAAATCAATAAGACAGTTGGTTTAATTACCATTGGAAAATGCTTGTCATTCCTCTGTAGGATCTGATCCCCTCTGGACCCTCATTATTTCCTTCACCTGCTTCCCCCACCGACAAAACTGTGCAGCTCTGCAACTGCATCCTGGCCCATCCTCACCCTTCTGCCCCCAACCCTCACCTCCTTGTACCCCCAATATGTTTTTCCCAATAAAAAAAAATTAAAAGTTTAAGGAAGATTAGGTTATTAAATCAGTCATTTAACAGATTCCATATTAATTTTTAAAACCAAAGTAAAGCAATCACTCTGGAAGATAGTTTGGTGCTTCCCCAAAAAGCTGAACATAGAAACTCCTTATGACCCAGTTATTCCATGACTAGAAATATACTCTAAGGAAATTAGAATTGAGACACAAATGGAGATTTGTACACCTATGTTCATAGCAGCATTATTCACCATAGCAAGAACATGGAAACAGCCCAAATGTCCACAACTGAGTGGATTGAGAAATTGTGGTACATTCACACAATGGAATATTATACAGCACTCTGGAGCAATGATTTTGAAAAATTCTACATAGCTTGGGAGAGACTGGACAGCATTATGCTGAGTGAACTAATACAGTTCAATAAGGACAAATACTGCACAAGGCCATTATTGTAAAAATAAAAGGATAACTAGTAAAACATGTACAGGAATTCAAGGAGGGGTGAAGATAGGTAGAGCAGAAATCACAGGGCTGCACCATTTCATGGGAGAAGAGGGGGAAGCAAATGGAAAGGATCCAGGCAAAAAGACAGGGTAGTGATGGGCAAGGTCCAATGGTGATTAATTTTATAAAATATAATGCATGAGAATGATTGTATGAAACACAACGTGAATGAAGAATGGTGTGGAGCACACTGTATACAAACTTTGAAAGCAAACCAATTTTTAAAAAATGTGACTGAGAATGAAATAAAACTCCAAAGTAAATGCAAAAAAAAATCTTAATAAGCCAAAACTATAACTGTGACACTTTAAAAACCTCCTCAACCCACTCCCAGTTGCCTATAGCAAGTTGGTGAACTGACTTGAGTCTTCTTTCCTAGTTCCATAGCAGACATCACTAATCAACCCCAGCATGCTTTCCTTCTGGGCTCGGAAAGTGTAGCCTGCACACAATAGCCCAAGAAGCAGTTCTGCAAAGCTGGAGATGGCAGTAAGACACTCACCATCTCTCTTTCACTCAAGCCTGTATGTGTACACTCATTCATTCATTCATCCACTCATCAACCAGGAGCAACAGAAGTGTCTAGTACTATCTCCACCCTGGCATGACCTCAGCCTAGTTTCAGAGGGGTGTGGATGTCCACCCTTCTCCAGAGCTTCACACACAATACTGGGTGGTAGGTAAAGCAGGGATCATCATCCATAAAGAAACTAAGGAGCCCTAGAATTAGCCAGGGATGTGTTTCCAATTCTGATCTGCAGCCCCTGTTCAGCTGTTTAGAGACGGGGTGTGGGACCCGTACCTTCTGCCATCGGTAGAACCGATCGGCTTTTATGATCATGTCCACCAGGCTGACGTGGTTGCTGCGGGCGGCCACCGCTAGGGCAGTTTTCCCTTGCTGCAAGGAGGAAGTGAAAGAGGAAGAAAAATCACCAGGCACTTCTTCAAGTGCGATGTAGAGTGGTTTCTAGTACCACGTATAGACCTTCCCACCCCAAAGAGGTAGATTTCAGCTCTGACAAAAGTCGGAGTTCAAATAAAGCAGTAACAGTAATTTCCATAACCACTCTTTGTTTCTTTTAGCAATGCTTTGTGCTTCTTTAACTTTTAAAGTATTAATTTCACTTGGTGTTATGCTTTAATATGTCCCACAAGGGTTAACATTCCTTTTTTTTAGAAGAAGAAAATGGAGGCCAGAGAAACGGGCGTGGGTATATTATGTCATGTTTGCCTGCATCCCTCCCAAGCTCCCAGAATCTGAGTGGTGCAATGGTTAACACACTCAGCTGCTAACTTAACGTCCGAGTTCACTCAGTGGTGCCAAGGAAGAAAGGCCTGGCAATCTACTCCTGAAAAAAATCAGTCCTTGAAAACCATATGGAACATTACTGACCCTATACTCTGACACACATGGAGTCACCATGGGGCAAGATCAGCTCAATGACAATTGGTTTGGTTTGATTTTTCTCAGGTCCTCAGCCTCTAAACGTGGAGGCAGCTATGGTCGCCTCCAGGTACCTTCAATGAGAAGGGAAATTCTTTGCACTTGGCCAGCTGTCCTCAGGCCAGCTCAAAGCCCTCCTAGGGGTCCCCTCCCATGTCCAGCCTCAGGGCCTGACCCTTGTCCTTCTCAATTCTAACACATCATCCTTGGGTGGGCTTGTCAGGTGCCCTGTGTAAGGGATTGCGGGGTGATGGTGTCCCCCAACCAGGTGATATAAGACTGTGAGGGGGACAGGAAGCAGAAAACAGTAGTATCACAGACTCAGACCAGAAGAAAGGCAGGCCAAGTGCTGAGGGACCTCAGAGAATAGAATGCAAGTGCTGGAGAGCCTGGAATACTTCCTGGAGTAGGTGGCATTTGAGTCAGTATATGAACTTCAACAAAGTCTTGAGCATATGGACAGGAAGAAGGGATAGACATAGATGTCAAGGACTGTGTCATGAAAAGCTCGAAAGGAGATGAGGGTAAGCAGCACCTTATCTCTCAGGCTTAAGTTAACCCCAGCGACGAGGAACATCTCCACTATATCCTGCCAGGCGTGCTCCGCAGCGAGGTGCAGGGGTGTCTGCTGCCTCTGGAGAGAAAGCCAAGGGGACAGGTGAGCAGAGAAGCGTGTACGGTGACACATGGTTCAACCCAGGCTAGGACCAATGTGGCCCTGTACTCTCAACCCAGCCTTAGCAAAGTTTTTCTAAGAACTTGGAGATTGGGACTGGGTTTAATCACAAATATTCACAGAGAAAATGTTAGAAACCTGAAGAGAAAAAAAAATTCAAACAGATTTTGAAGGTGAAAAGGGATATTCTCAAATTTGGGTCAAACCAGGAGCCAACACCTGAGTCCCACCCATCTGGCAAGGTGACCTGTAGCCACTTACATTGTCCACAGCGTCCAGGTCACTGTGCGTGTCGATGAGGAGCCGAACCAGGGCTGGGAAGTTGTGCCTCACTGCGAGATGTATGGGAGAGGCACCCTGCTGTAGGGAGAGGAAAAATAAATCAACTGCTAGATGCCTTTTAAGAACCCCCAGCTGCAACCTGGTGCCAGACGGTGGGAGCAGATAAAGACAAAGGCTTCTATGTTTGGCCACTGGGCATTGTCAGGTTGCATGGGTTTGCTCAGGGTCACTCAGTTCATGAGTTCTCCCAAGAACTCAGAGCCAGACTGTCTAACATCAAAGTTCATGTCTTTAACTACAAGGCTTTAAATTGTTTTCTATGTACCAACCATACCATAATAAGAAAAAGTTTAACAACTAGAGGGTACTACTACCTGTAACAGGAAACTCTGGTGGTCAAGTGGGTGAGGAGTTGTACTGGTAATCCAAAGGCAAGTGGTTCATATCCACTAGCTGGTCTGAGGGAGGAAGATGAGCAATCTCTTCCTGTGTGACTTACAGCCTCTGAAAACCTGCTCTGAAGAACTAGTTCTTTAACTAATTCTAAAGAATTAGTTCGGATTTGAAGGCAGCTATGAGTCTGTTCTGATTCAATGGCAATGAGTTTGATTTACCATTTATAAGACAATATCACAAAGATCTGATGGATAAACGCGTGAAAACTAAAACTAGATAATCTACTTGGAACGTGTGATGTCAGTAATCTTGAAAATTGGCTTTTCTATACATTGCATCTGTGCCCATTGGGGGCATAGTCTCCAGATACCTTAATTGTGGACAGTTTTGCAAATCAGCAGCAGCTGTGGAACCAATATAAAAGAGTGCTTTCTACACTGTGAGAGACAGTGATATAGAGAGGATGAAGAAACTGTGGCTGTAAACACTGTAGCAACGTGTAACCAGAGGAAACTTGGAGATGGAGCCACAGTTAAAGGTTCTGCTTGCCAGATGATTAAATAAAAAGCTAACTTGTCACTGCTCTGAGATAAAGTTTGCTGGACTATTAAGGAAATCAGAGGTTTATTTGTGCTGCTGAGTTGAACCTAGATAATCTGCCTTGGGACTACTGGACTAAACCGGAACTTGCACTGTGTGATGATATTCTTTGCCTTATCACCCCCCCCCATCCTATTTCCCTAATAAACCCCACAACTGTGAGTAAAGTCTGTGAGTCAGTTTGCAATGAACTTTGAACCCAATGATTCATAGAAGCAGCTACAGGAGCATGTGGAACAGTATCTCTGACCATGTAGCTATTTCTTTAGTACTACGGATATTATTGATGGGGACAGTTCTCCTTTCTGAGGCAGGTAGAAGTCAAATTTGGCCTTCTCCACATTGCATCTTTTCCTTTTACAGGAGGAAATGCAATTTCTAATTGGTTTCTAATCCTGTTCCAGTTAGACAATTACTGACTTTCCTAAATGTCCCCAGCGCCCCTTAGTCTAGGCCCCACCCCATCACTCAGGGTCTAAAGTGCTCCTCTCCCTCTGCTGTGCTTAATAGGTGTCACTGGAAGACTTTCCAAAGGAATCTCCTTCAAACCAGGCTCCACACTCACCTGATCAGCCACGTTGGTACAGCCTCCAGCATGGATGAGGGCCCGGGCCACATCCTCCGAACCACTGAGGGCCGCATAGTGAAGGCAGCTCAGCTTTTTCTAGAGGGAAGAAGGCATCAATGCCATATCAATGTCCTTGTTAAGTGCCATCGAGTTGACCACAATTCACAGTGACTGAAGAACAACAGATCTGAACCTTACCCTATCCCGTCCTGACAATCTCTAACATGTTCCAGCATATTGTTACAGTCTCTGTGTCAATACATCTCGAGAGTCTTCTTCCACCTTTTCCAAGGACTGGTCAGTCCCTCCTGACAACAAGCCCAACGTATGTGTGATTGAAGTTTTACCATCCTCTCCCCTAAGGAGCATTGAGTTGTACTTTCTCTAAGACACATTTGTTTGTTCTTTTGGCAGTCCCTGGCAATGCCAACAGGACTCCAAACAGCGGGATTTATAAAGCACTCTGGGATTTATTATCTCATGTGAGCTCCATAACCACCCTTGGACTGTATCATCTTCATTAAGCCCCGAGGGTAGAGTAATCAAGCATTCAGGGCCACACATAAAGGACTGAGGGGGGTTTCTGGGACTGTAGACTTTTCAATTTTAAAATCAGGGCATCATGGAGAAAACTGGAATAATTGTGCACCCTAGAAAAGTGCCATCAGAAAGTACAAGTGATGAATGGGAATTATCCCACCTCCCAGATGGAAACAACATCATTTTGGGTGTCCCCCTTTTCAGGGATGCTGCTGCAGGACACCCCAAGGGGTAGAAAAATGGTATCAAAATAGAAGGCACCTTGTGCCAGAAACTTTCAACCAAGTCTGGAGCACGAGGCCCAGTGAGGGAGCAGCTCCAACCCTGATGGCCACCTAGCTGGGCATGACCTCTGTCTCTGAATTCCTGTTGCTCCTACTTTGAGGGAACTTAACATGTTTCACTTTTCCATCTGTCTCCCACTAACACCATGCTTACCAAATATCTACACTGTGCCAAAGGCCGAGGATGTCACGTCCCAGGCAATATTCCCAGGCCTCCAGGAGAACTTGGCCAATTAAGTATTCTGTGATTTCACTCACTCCTTGTCATAGATACAGAAACAATTCATAGCTGCTCCTCTACTGAGTTTCAAAAAGGAGTAGACTGCCCATCTTTCACCCTGAGTAGTCTCCTAGTGAATGCAAACCACCATTGACGTGAGGCCTTTGGGTTCGCAGAGTAACTCCCTACAGACTAGGTGATAGAGCCCCCTTTTGTGACGTAGAAGCCATTACTTAATAGTTTAATGCTTATGACAGTGAATTTATTTTTTTTATTTGCTATTTAATCTTTAATAGGTCTTTTATTGTCTTGGTTCTTCTTTGATTGCTTGCTTTCATTATGACATAAATATTTTTAGCACTCCATTTAATCTTTCAGTAGATTCTTAAACTATCTGTTTTGCTTGTTGTGGTTATTGTGTACCATTGAGTTGGAATCGACCCATAGCTGATACTCCAGTGGGTTTTCAGAGGTAGTTTAATCATGCGGGAAGACATGACCCATTCTTTCTCCTGCAGAGCAGATAGTGGATTTCAACTATGTGCCTTCGGGACTGCAATGCAGCTCCTTACCCCCAGGCCACCAGTGATCTATTACCATGAAAATTTGGAACAAACAGAGAATTCCAAACCTGAAGCTGTTCAACAAGCCAAGCAAGGTTCTCTGTCACTGATTTTAAAAAAATAAAACAAAACAACAACAAAAAAACCCCACTAAAACACGAAACTTTAATCAAAAGAACTTCCAACACCAGACCTGAAAAGAATAAGGTAAGAGAGAAAAGGGCAGGAGAAGATAAAGTAGATGAAAGGGATCTCCTAAGACTCAAATGCCTATGCACATCCCAAAACTTCTGCAACAGGGTAAAAAGGGAAGCCACCGACTGGGAAAAAGTATTTGGTAATAACATATCAGATAAGGGACTTATATCCAGAATTTATGAAATACTTGAGCACCACAACAAGATAAAGGTAAATAATCCAATAGAAAAATGGACACAGGATATTAACAGGCACTTCATTGAAGACGACATTCAGATGGCTAACAAGCACATGAACAAATGTCCAAAATCCCTAGCTCTAAGAGAGATGCAAATTAAAACAACTATGAGATATCATCTCACCCCAGTCAGAATAGCAAACTGTAACAGAACAGCAAGCAACAAATGCTGGCGAG